AGTCGTCTGTGCTCTAGCCATCGCGGCAGGACATTGAGGAAAACCAAGTAGTCCGTAAACCATCCTCCTAGCCGTACAAGTAGAAAAAATCACTTCTTTCCCACCTCTTCCTCCCTAGAAATGAGGGAAGGGGAGTGTCGGACGAGCTGTCCTTTCTTGCTGGCTCGTGCCAGCAAGAAATTTTGCTGCAGCCGCATATGCACCAATACATATGCATCAGTACAAACAAAGAAATGCGATAATTAAATGAGTTAAGCAAGTAAAAACCAACCAAAAAGAGGCAGCATTAATTTTGAAACGCGGTACAGTTACACGCAATCGCGCAAGGACCCGCATCCAAGCACGCGATTCCACGGCTGGCAAGTGGGGTTGCGGCAGATTTGACGCCAAGCCCTCCACGGGATTCAACTCCCTTTCTAGCGGCTTTCCAAGGTGAGTTTTGTTCAGTCACACTTTTATGTTCTTGACTAGGGCTAGCGCATCGTTCCACACCATTAGTGTTGAAGGTAAAACCCTGCTGGGACTGTTGTTCTAGAAATAACACAACATGAATCCTGAACATACCCGTAGTCGTCCTGAAGCGAGAACACATTGTGCTGTATGAAGCGCAAATCATCGGTATTGTCACAGATAATTCGAGCCAACGTAGTCTTACGAATTTCTTCCAGTTGAGATGTTGAGAAAGCAGACGGATAGAAAAAGTTCTCATACCAGAAGCGATCACCGCGCTTCGTCTGAAATTAACAGTGACGATAATTCTATTAGAGCATATATTACATAAGTATATAGTAGCAGCTACGGAATTTACACGATTCAATCAATTATATTAGGTATTTTTGGCTCAAAGCTAGCAAACAGCGCATCGCGTGCCTTCGGGTGGTAGAATAATCAAACAGTGGATGCACAAATAGATGAGGTAGGTGCCAACGTCACTAGCAGGAAGAGAAAGCCAAAAATCACTTAATGTAGGAGTTCTTTTCAAAGTTTTAGTAAATCTACTTGACAAGATGCGATGACTGCTAATGACAGGCTAGGCACCGAAGGCAAGAGAGCAGCACAATGGAGAAGCCTAGAGATGATAAGAGCGTTGTGGACGCACTGAAGACGCCAGGTACCAACGTTATCGGATGGGGCGCATGGTTATCTCGACGGTTCGAGGTTACGATTGCTGAGCAAATCAACACACGACAACGTTTCAGAATGGTACCAAATAAGCTCCAGCTAGTGCCGTAACAGACTTCAGTAATTCATTCACTGGAGGAGTTGTCCGCATTAGACTCATCGCTCCATGAACCGGCCAAACTGAAAGACCTTCAACGGATACCTTCTAAATATTGACGAGTAGCGGTTAATGGTAGGCGTATAGAGTTCCTCTCGAGAAGTCCGATCAGGGATGATTTGGACGGTGGTTATTGATTTTGACGCGCTCAAGATCGTAATCACCATTTTTAGATAGAACTACAAGACAGGTTCACAAAACAGTATACCTTTTCCATTGTTTTGCAATCAAACAGGCGAGAGTAAGAAGACGCAAGCAAGTAGAGCTCGGGTAGGAGTTCCCGGCAAGCCCTCCAGACATGCCAGATAGAAGTCTTCACGGTGATGCTATAATGTCGAAAGATCGACACCATTGACGGATGGAAGAAGCTTCAATTAATGTCGCTGTTGAGGTTATCTCTGAATTGACGAGGAAACAACTCACTTTGGTTGACATGGACGCGAAAGACTGCACGTTGTCCAGTTGACAATGCCGCCTCCACTGAAGATAGCTAGGAATTCCATGATCTCTTCCCATTTGTATAATTTGTGCGGCCATGTCAATTCCTTGCTCTGTGGAGCCGCCACCTACAGGACAATTAAATGGAATTTGATATAAAAGAATGCGATTTGTTATTATTAGTTTTCATTCAGCAGAGAAATCATGACTTCTGGCGTTTCTTGTTCCTGGTGGGCCGGAAAATATTTGTTGCATGACCCGTGTAATAGATTTTCATTCAAAATTGTGGGGACACTTAATTGCATGCTTTGACCAATGACTTGCGACGGCCAATTTGCCTCAAGTCAAGGTTGAGATTTCAAATAGATGGCACTTAAAGGCACGGGTCGCAATCCATTGCGACCGCTGCGGCTGCTGCTATTGTCAATTACAGCGCAACGTACGTGGCATCTGCACCATCTCCCGCTCCACGTGCCGATGTCCGTCTCGTTGCAATACTGTGTCTCCCCCTCTTACCACGGTCGACCTCACGAAAGTTTAGTGTTTTCTATGGTGCTTTCTGCTCTTTTTTCGCTTCCTTCATCCTCGTACTTCTCGCCTAATTTTCGAATAAAATAACACACCAATTCTATCACGACCCATGCCTTTAGAAAATGCGAGTCTTCAAAGATAGAATATTCATTGGGCGTGGGATAGTCTCGAAGGACGGAAGGAAGAAGACAAGTCACGATGGCTTGGTCGAATCGTGCATCTCCACTCAGAGCTCGGGGTTCTTGGCCACTGGTAGGAGACGACCCATAACGGAATTACCACTGTTGACTATAGTTCCCTTTATTTTATTTTCCGCTTGAAACTAAAAATAGTGAAGCATTTAACGTTGTCCAGTCCCTTTTTGTGGTGCGCCACGCATCCTGCTTCCATTCACAGGTGTATCTTAGTGGTATATAGATCGGAATTACCACACAAAAGCACCCGCGAATAGACTATACAATTCGGTGTCATTTTCCCTGACAAGTCTGGGCCATCTCACAACACTCGATGGGATGGAAGGCTTGCTGGGCGGAATAGAGCACGGGGTTTGGTCCACCGATCACATGGGTGATAGGGGGTTTCACTCCAATACCACACTATCTCGGTTGGCAAGCATGAATGGGCATGTGGGATGAACCACGAATCTGATTTAACTTGAAATTATAGAGGTAATCTTAGGCCGTACAATCCACACAAAGTGTATGGGCAGTTCTTAAGCCATCTCAAGTTAATGAAATGGGAGTCTTGATCGTCTCTGAGGCATGATGGGTGGCGTTTTGACACTGAACCTATGAACAGTAAGCGGAAGCAATAAACATCCTTTGCTTTCAGGAAGAAAAATTACCTCTTCTGAAAGTGTTCTTCAGCTCGGGAGTTAGGTGTAGCCCAGGTTTCATAATGGGCGATCGAGTAAGGAATCGCACCACGGCGTCGAGGCGATTTCGTTGATAGATAAAGGAGGGATCGTTGAAAACCTTAACTCATATTGTATGAGTACATATTCAACAAAATGGGTCATTCATGGCTTCTTCTTTAACCCCACCTTTCCCAGAGGCTCCTCTCTTTTGGTGTTCCCAAATGAATCTGTTACAGTAATCTTGTCCGGCAGCAGAGTAAGGAAGAATTGGCCGACAGCAGTGGCGAATACATTCAATGTTGATCCGTCAATATTCTGAAATCTAGCCAATTTGGAAATTAAGACTTGACGACTTGTCATCCACCTACCATGTCATAACGGCTATCGTAGCCATTCACTTGCAAATCCAATGCGTGCTTTTTCAGGTTCTCCTTTCCGACTATAATTGGCACGAATTCATTGTACGTGATATGTTGGATCTGTGCAATCACAATTCGTCGAGCTTCTTGGAAAAGCTTTCTCATCGGACCATGTCGGATTGACTTCCTGAACAAATTTGGACAGTTAGTCAACACAAATAAGAGATGACACATTTATAAATTATGCTGATTCCACCAAGCCCTATTCTTGAAAATTGCGAATAATCAAAAATAGTTTACCATAGAAGCTTGTTTTTTTTGAAATGGTTGGCAAGACTCCAAAAGCACCTTCAAGAATTGCAATCCTCAAATTCCTCCTCTGCGCAAAAGTGTCTGCTTTCAAAGACAAAGCCTGGGTTTATTAGACGAAATGAAGCCCTTGCGCTAGAAATAGGGAGTAGAAAGCAGCGTAGAGCATGAACCCATTTGGCACCACCACTCAACAAGGCTGAGGCGCCAAGGCCGAGGGATGTACCATGAAGTCCGCCTATTATCATTCACCCCGCGCCTAAAATCAATGCTATTTCGCTTCGTCACTCTGGGATAACTTGATTTTCCGCCCTTTTAGAAAGTTTATTCCCCTCTCTTTATTACTGGCGTCTCACATATCTCCATTCTCACTTAACGACGCAACAATGCAACAGTTTGACCCCAGAATTTGCCTTAGAACTTTTTTTTCGCATAACCAGACGAAAGCTCAGTGAGCTCTAACTCAGGACGAGGAAGACAATTTCAGATGAGGATCCTTCCAAGCTTTCAGTGACAGGCTCCATTTCTCTTACTGTAGCCAACTCTCTTTGCAAATAACTATGGGAAGCTGCAGAGGCAGAACGAATGGATGGATTCTAACCCACAATATTTTCTGAAATGACTCTGAAACCCGCTCGCTCACAGTTCACAGTTTTTTTTACCCTATAGTCCTTGTTTTTCATTTTGAGGTCATACTAACCTTCAACTTTCCGGCTATGAAATTGTGTTGTCTCATCCATATCGTATACATAACGGCATTTGACGGCAAGAAATTAATTCTGAACAAATGCTTTATCAAAATGGCCTCACGCTGATCGCACTCCAAAAGTATAGATATGCCCATACCGTGAGCTTCCAGCTAAAAAGCATGGTTGAGAGGTAGGAGATCGGTTTTTGCAGTCCTCATCGGTGTCATCTTGAGGGAGACCTCCATGAGACGCTGACAAGATCCGTAAGCTGAGTAGCCCTGAAGTGTGAGGCTATCTTCCATGTCAGCAAATTTTAAGTGTGGGTAGTTGAATAATCCAAGTTGTAGGGAAAGACTTCCTAGCTAGCT